AAAATTGCTGCTAACCCCCCCCCCCCCCCAAGAATAACTTCTTCAACATAAGGGTGGTCACACATTATAGCTGGGTCAGAGTAAGGGGAATTTCCATCCTTTGAGATATTTAATGCCTGTCTGGACACTGCCTTGGGCAACCTGCTCTACCTAGACCTGCTTTGAGCTGGGGTGGACCACAGAGCTCTAGAGATCCCTCCCTGCATACACAGCCCTGTGATATCCAGGGCTCCTTGTGACGAGCAACCCACCACTGTCCTGCATAAGTTGTTCACACAGTTCATCCTCCTTCCTGCTGAAAATATCTATTGCATTTCTGTTTGACATGTCTGCCCTCAGTTCCCAAACGCTGCGTTTCATCAGACCTCAAATCATTTCTGTACTCCTCTCTAGTCTGTGAATATGGACAGCAATAGTCTCACTGGTGCCATACACTGGAGCGTCCATCCCTTGGGCACTGATAGGTATGATGCTGTTTCGCCCAGAACTTGGCTCCCCGGTAGTTCCCACAGTCACTCCCGTGGCCCTCTTCAGCACAGCTGTTTATCAGGACACAACCTGCCAGACCACAACCTTGACTTGCATTCTTTGTAGCTTAGGGTATGCTCTTGCATAGATAGCTGTGCAAACACAGGTAATCTCTTGCAAGACGATAAAACAATTCCAGAAGGCAGATTGTGCACAAGGAGGTGGCAAATATCCACTGATCTCCACAGGCAGATGACAAACATGCTCAAATGCGTGATCTGGCCATATTCACTCCCAACAGCAGACATGTCTCTGCCAGGAACTAAAATCTGTGTATGATGCTTTCCTTTCATAATTACATTTTCAGACCTCTCAGTAACCCAGCTTTTACCTCAGTTGGTGAAGCATTTTTATTTCATAGACCCACAGAACGGCTGAGGTTGGCGGGGACCTCTGGAGATCATCCAGTCCAACCCCCCTGCTCAAGCGTGGTCAGCCAGAGCTGGTTGCGCAGGACCACATCCAGTTGGGTGCTGACCGTCTGCAAGGATGGAGACTCCACAGCCTCCATGGGCAACCTGCACCAGTGCTTGACCACCCTCACAGTGAAAAAGTTTTTCGTATGTTTAAGTGGAATTTCCTGGATTTCAGCTTGTGCCCATGCATTCTCACCCTTGGGATGCTGTTTCCCCCTCATAGACAAGCCAATGAAGTATGGGTTAGGCTAGTGGCCAGAGAGGTGGACTGAAAACTGACTGAATGGCTGGACCCAGAGGGTTGTGATCAGTCACTAATGGAGTCACCAGGGCTCAACACCAGGGCCAGTACTGTTTAACACTGGACAATGTTATTCATTAATGACCTGGACGACGGGGCAGAGCACACCCTCTGAAGTTTGCAGATGACACAAAGTGGGGAGGAGTGGCTGATATGCCAGAGGGTCATGCTACCATCCAGAGGGACCTTGGGAGGCTGGAGAAATGGGCAGAGAGGAACCTCATGAAGTTCAACAAGGAGAAATGCAAGACGAGGCAATGGACAAAAATTAACACACACGAAATTCCATCTGAACACCAGGAAACTCTTTTTCACATGAGGGTGGTCAAACCCTGGCACAGGTTGTCCAGAGAGGTGGTGGAGCCTCCATCCTTGGAGACATTCAAAAGCCATCTGGACATGGTCCTGGGCAACCAGCCCTGGGTGGCCCTGCTTGAACAGGGGTTGGAGACAGTGACCTCCAGAGGTCCCTGCCAACCTTGACTGTTTTGTGATTCTGTTTTGTCACTGGGAACCACTGTGAAGAGCCTGGCCCCATCTTCTCTCCTCTCTCTCATCAGGTGTTCATACACGTTGATGAGATCCCCCAGAGCCACCTCCTCCCCAGGCTGCAAGTGCTGCACTGAAACCGGCAGATTTAGCTGCCGCTCTGCCAGGACGTGACCTCTCCAGCACGCCAGCAAGTGCTGCTGTAAGTCCTCCCAGTCCGTCAGGGGTTGTCCTGCACTGAGCAGTCCCAGCGCAAGAGCTGCATGCCATGGAGATCGGCTCCACGGGACTACTGTCTCCTCACTTGGGCACTGTTCAGCCTGTAGGACACACCCACAAAGATCTCCTTCCAGCTGCTGCTTTTTAGGAGTGGGGTGCTCAGCCTCTGGAGAAAAGGCATGGAATTCTGGAAGCTGACTGTCACATCCATGCAGGTCTGCGGGATGGGGTGATCGGCTGCTGGAGACTCCTCTGCAAGCAATGGTTCCCTTTGCCACTCGGCCATTGTCCGAACTGCCAGGGAATAATTGAACTGTTGGGAGAGAAAGACAGAGCAGAGGGAATTAACGTAGGAAGAGACCCAGACCCTTCCAAAGATGGGCTCTGCTGGGTCAGATGAAGAACTCGCCTACCCCAGTATTCTGAGAACTGCAAGCAAGAGGTGCTTAGGGAAGAGCATCGGAGCAAAGCGGCTTTCACCAGTCCCTGCTCAGCCCTCACAGCCTGAGGCCAAGCAACTTCATGGGTCAGAGTGCATTTACACCTGTCTCTAGAAAATGATCATTAAAATGTAAAAATAGGAAAGAAGAACTGTGATCTGGGAAGCCTGGAGCCACACGAGCTCTAGAAACAGCTGTGTACCGCCAGGGTCAATGTGCTGATATGCCAGTGAAATCGTGATTAATTTAACCCGGCCCTGGCCTCTGCCTGCCCAGGGCCGGTGCGGACCCCAGGGCCCCAGGGAGCAGACGGGTGCTGCCATGCAGAGGGGTGAGCGGTGCGTCCCACGGCAGAAGGCAGGCAGGGCACCAACAGTGGGGCACCAGTGGCCACCTCCCAGCACCAGTGTGGAAGAGGGCAGCGGAGGCAGACGTCCCTGTGGGCCGACGTCCCTGCAGGCAGCGCCCTGGAGAGCTCTGCTCACGGGGGGTGCAGAGACCAGGGTGTTGGAGGTCTCAGGAAAGGGCTGCCTGGTGCCAATTTGCTGCTGGGGGGTGCAGTCCCTGCAGCAACGGCACCGTGCAGAGCACTGCTGCTCACCTCGGGTGCCACTGAGGCAGGGGCTTGGAGAAGGGGCTGGGAACACCGAGGGCCCGGAAAATGTCTCCGGAGGTGGAGAGCAGCAGGACTGAGACTGTTACCTGAGAGACCGAGAGAAGGGGTGACGGGGGCTCTGCTCTCCCTGCCTCCTGGACAGGGACAAGGGGCAGGCTGGGACCTTGGCAGGGAGAGACAAAACCAACACCCAAGTGTTCTGGAACCTCGTACCAGGGACAAGGCTTGGCTGAGCCCCAGAAGGGCTGTACCACTCCCTGGGTGCCAAGGTTGGCTACAGCCCTGCCACAGGTGCTCAGAGAAGGGGTGAAGGGACGGAAACCCCCTTCTCTGGGGTCGAGGGTGGCCCTTTTTCTGCTGCAGAACTGCAGCCCTGTACCACCCACTGTGGCAATCCCCGAGATCGGCTGTGCTGCCAGGCAGAGCACATGGGAAAGCTCCAAGCAAGCTGTGCTGTGGATCTGCTCTCTACAGGCAGGGACAGGAGTTGCAGGAAGCTGGCAGGACCTACAGCTTCAAGGACCTTTAAATTCAAGTATTTCCAGGCAAACACTCCCCTCGGGCCCTCTGCGACCATCCAGCACGAGTGGCTGTCCCTCGGGGAGGTGGTGGTGCTCCGGCTTCCCGCCCAAGCAGCCTGCAAGCAGGTGCGTGGGTCCGGGGGCTGGAGGCTGGAGCAGAGCAGGGTCTGGGGCACCTTCCGGGCAGAGCACCGGTGCAGACACCCAGCGCCCACACTCCACCAGCACATCAGTCCTCACTGGCGAGAAAGGAGCCAGAGGCAGCAGCCTGTGCCCGTCAAGTCCGGGCGAATGCATGGTGTTTACATGGGCGCCAGCAGAAGCACTGCCCCACACACCCCGTGCCTGTCACCAACACTGCCTGCATGCCGTGCGCCACCCGGGAACGTGCTCGGCCTCAGTGGCTGGATCTGGCAAGCCCCAAACCACCGCAGCCTTGTGTCTGTCACACAGCCAGGAGGAATTGACCCCTCTCCAAAGCTCACCAGGTTCAGCCACCGCCAACACCTCCTTGCCGTGCCAAGGCCTGGTTGTGCTCCGTGAGGACGCTTCCACTACCTCCAGGAGGAAGGGCTTGTACCTGCAGAGCCATGACGTGCAGCCTGTTCTGATGCCAACAGCCAAAGTGGGGACAAAAAGGCTCCCGGAATGAGCAACGCCAACCCTCAGCCCCGAGGAGAGTGGCCCTTGCCCCCGCAGGGTGCACCGCGCAGGAGGGACCAGTGGGGCCAGGGCTCTACTCACCCTCACGACGCATTAGCAGCAAGACATTAGTGAAGAGATGTTTTATTAGCACTAGGAAACCGTTTCCTAGAAATACAAGAACCCCAGGTCTGGAGCAGGAAAGCCCAGCGCCGGAGCCGTTAGGGCAGAGTTCGGGTGGGAACTCCTCCTGGCCGGAAGGGCAGGCACTGCGATTTCTTTCTTGGTGCCCCCTGCCAGCCCCTGCCCCAGCACCGCCAGGCACAGAACAGACTTGGCCACTGCCACGAGGCTCTCAATGCCGATGCACTAGAGGACACAGATCCACAAGGCCGGGTCTCGGTGCAGAGTGGATCTGCTGCTCCAGACCAGGACTACCGGCAGCGTGCAGAGGCCCAGACCGTACTGCAGCACCAAAACGTTACTTCTCCTGCTGGTAACGCAGGGCCTGGATCCATCCTGCAGCCATCCAGCCCACCGCTACTGCCAGAAGGTGTGACCCAGGATGACGGCCGTGCTATGTGCCAGTGCCTGGAGCCCCTTGCAAGGGTCCACGGGGGCCTGGAGCCGCCAGCGGGTCAGGAGAGGCTCCGGGTCCCCCAGCCCCTGGCAGGGCAGTCGGTGCCGCCAATCCCGCCTGGGCCGAGTTCTGGGATGCCCGGGCTGCGCTGGCCTCATAGTCGGAGGCACGGCGCTGCATGATGGAGGGCATCAGCGCCACGTAGGCGCTCATCAGGCGGTGGTTGGAGCGGACCAGCTTTCCGGCGCAGCTGTCGAGGCACGTCTCCTGCAGGACGGGGAGGATCAGCGTGGCATGGGGGCTCCCACGGCCCCTCCGGCCCCGCGCGCAAGGGCTGGCCGCGCCAGACCCAGGGGCTCTGGCTGCCCCGGGGCCTCACCTCGCGCCCGGTGAGCAGGCGGTAGTTGAGGTTGGAGACGCAGTGCCGGAAGCAGAGCTCGGTCATCCGGTTGTAGACCAGCAGGAAGTCCCGCAGCTGGAAGAGAGGCGGCGCCGGCAGACGCTCACCCCAGCGCCTGCCCCGGCCCGGGGCCGCGGCACCCGGGACCCCCCGAC